TTCAGATCGATCGGACCACGGACGAAGCGGGATCGGATGTTTGATGAAATCTGGGCAGAATGGAAAAAAACCTGTGCGACCCGGTTACTGTTCATGAGTACGAATCACTGTTCCCAAGGTTAAACTCTGATCTCCACCGTTCAGATTGTGCATCATTGAGTCCTGAACCTCTCCTTCAAATTTCAGCTCGATCGGACCACGGACGAAGCAGAATCGGTTGTTTGATGAAATCTGGGCAGAATGGAAAAACATGTGCGACCCGGTTACTGTTCACGAGTACGAATCACTGTTCCCGAGGTCAAACTCTGATCTTCACCGTTCAGATTGTGCGTCACTGAGTCATGAACCTCTCCTCCAAAATTCAGCTCGATCGGACCACGGACAAAGCAGGATCGGAGCTTTGATCAAACCTTGGCAAAATGTGAAAAACTGTGTTTTTCCTTCTCCACTTCCACAAAACGTGTGCTTTGTTTAAAAAAAAAACCCTACACAGACGTCTACCTTATACTTATAGAGTTTTCCTAAACCCTAGGTTCATTTAAGTCCAATTCACAATCCTAACCGGCCCATCCAATTAACGTAGAAACCTACGACGGTTATAATATAAAACCCTAATTTATACTGTAATTAAAACCCTAGTTAGATGTATTTACCTATTTACCCTATTCACCATTAAATACTTAACAAATAATCTAATTGAACAAAATAATAATTAGTAAACCCAATTAAACCAAATAAGACACACATAAAATAAGACACACATAGAATAATTAAACCAATTACACTTAAACCATTAATACCAATTAAATAATTAAAACACTAACAAGTAATTCCAATCAAATAACTAAACCAATTACACTTAAACCATTAATGCCACTTAAATAATTAAAACACTAACAAGTAATTTCAATCAAATAACTAAAAATAAATATCATTTAAATAAATTAAATCAGCACAAAAGAAATAAATTAAATCACCACAAAAGAAAACAATTAAGCACCTAATAAAAAAAATAATGACACATAATCAAATAAAATGCACTTAAATAATAAATTAAATACCATTAAATACCAGGAATATCCTTTTTAAAATTAGGGGTATTACAATAGATAAAGAGAGAAAGTAGAAACTGGGCAAGTGAGGTGTTAGAGATTGGGGCGAGAAAAGGCGATAGAAAGAATGGTGATCCGATTTGGAAAGAATGGTGATCCGATTTACAAACTTCGGTGCGATCGGGTGAAGACGGATCTAGAATGGTTTCAGCAATTCTTTCACAAAATAATGAAAAAGCTTATGTAAACAGATTTGGAAAGTATCACGAAAAAGCTTCGGATCTTCTTTTTTTATTTTATTTATTTATTTTTATTAACTTACCAAAAAACAAAAAAGCTTCAGATCTACTTTTGATTTTTTATTGTGTCTTGGTCCATCACTTTGAAGTTTAAGATCAGGTGGTGGGTTTAATGGAGGAGATGATGACGCCGACGGTTTGATGGAGGAGGTGATGATGCCGGCGATGGGTTTTATAGAGGAGATGATGATACCGGCAGTGAGTTTGATAGAGGTGATGATGCCGACGGTGGGTTTGATAGAGGATGTGATGATGCCGACTGTGGGTTTGATAGAGGTGATGATGCCGGCAGTGGGTTTGACAGAGGATGTGATGATGCCGACGGTTTGTTTGATGGAGAAGATGGTGATGCGTGGGTTTGTAATTTGTTAGGTTTTATTTTTTAATATTTTTTTAGTTTGTATTTTTCTAAAGTTGGAATGGAATGGTCATTCTTTTTGTGAAAATGTGGAATGATTTTGATGGAATGACCATTCTCCAAGAATGGTGGAAAATGACGATTCCAAGTTTAAAATTGGACACCAAACACAAGAATGGAATAAAAACTATTCTATTCCACTTTCTTTACATTCCATTCCACCTCACCAAACTAGGTCTTAATCACACGGATAAGGAAATCTCAACAAAAAGATAAAAAAAAAAAAGAAAAAAAAAAAAAAGGGTTTATTGGTATAAACTCTCTTTATTTATTTATCCTTAAAAAGAAAAAAAGGAAAAAGAAGAAGAAGAAGATGGTAATGATATTATAATGTTGAGCTCATGACAATTGTTACGAGTTTTCTGTTTTTTTGTCATAATCATATTCAAATATTAAGACGCATATTTAACCATTTCAAAAAAAATTGTATAGGAATTGTTATAAAAAAATTCGTACAAAAAATCATTTGCACTAAATAACACCACTAAAATTTTAAATTTCTTCTTTTGATTTTATTTGAACATATTAAATTATCACATTTGACCATCTCAAACAATTTTATTTTATAATATTTTAAGCTGTTTTTGCAATGAAATCACTTCAAAATTGGCAACCTGACTATACTTTGTAAATTAATAAAAAAAAATTTCCTTCAAAATGTGCAACAGAGTTGATGACCACGGTCATAAAATCAACGCCTCAGTAGCATTACTTAATAATAATAATAATAATAAGGGTAAAGTGTAAAAAACTTTCCTCAACTATGTCTAAATTTACAAATAATCCGTGAATTATGTTTTGGGCATAAAACATCCTAAACTTTCATTAAATGACTATAATACCCTTTTTTATTGAATTACACTGAATATATTTTTCTTGTTAAAATAAATTATGAAAAAAATTAATACTAATTTAATGAAATATTCTCCATTAAATTTGCATAAGTTTACTTTTAATTTTTTAAATTAATTATTTAAATAAAAATCTTAAATAGAAAAATTTGAAACAATTTAAGTAATTTCTTAATTTTCATGAATATATTGCATTAAAAAGAAGATATTTTTTATTTCAATAATTTATTAATTTTTGATGAATATTGTTTGTAAAAGAAGAAATTTTTTTATACGAATTTTTTTTTTTTTTTTTTTTTTTTTTAAAGTGAGGATAATAAGTTAATCATTTTAGGAAATGATAGTTACAAATTTATTTATTTATTTTTTTTACATTTTTATAATCATTTGATACTAATTATAAAATTAAGATAAATGATATAATAAAAATTTAATTAAGAGAAAATATAATAAAAAATAATTTAATAATTAGTAGGCATTACTTAATAATAATAATAATAAAAATAAAATCAACAGTTTATTATAATAATAATAATAATTTAAATGTAAAGGGTTTTTGTTGACCTAAAATAAAAACCGGTTCATTGCTGTTCAACCGCTTCGTCACAAATTTTATATAGCCGTTGCCAGATTTCCTTAAACACCCTACTCACTATTAGCCAAAAAACCCTAGTCACAATTCGCTATTTTTCTCTGAAAAATCTCTCGAACGCACAACTCCTTCATTAACGCTCTTCTTCTCTCTCTCTCTCTAACTTTTAGTCTTGTTCATGTTTTGCTGGATTTCTACTCTTCCTATACAAATTTGATATATCATATATATATATATATATATATATATATATATATATTATCTGTATATATTCTGTTTCTGAAACTTTTTTTTTCGGATACAGGAATTGGTACGAAAATGTTGCGATTTCCTCTCTCCGATCGAAAACTTCGAAGGAAAAAGTCGCGTGAAAACGTATGTATTTCCATCTGCTTGCATGAACATTTAGCTTTGTGTTTTTAGTCTAAATTCTTCAAGATTTTGTATGGAATTCCTTTTGATTTCATTTATTTGGTATATGTGTTCGTGAATTTCTTGGATTTTTGGATTTATTGTGAACTAGGGTTTCTTCTTCTTATGAAATTTTCTATTTGTGTAGACGGTTGAGTGTTGTTTGCAATCTTTTTAGAATTTTGAGGTTGACGTTACCATTAATTTCTAGGATTCTGATCTATTTTCTATGATTATGAATTCTCAGAAATTTACTGTTTATTTCTTCAACTTGTATTGATTATATGATTTTTTAATTCATAGTCCTGTGGGTTTATTGGTTTGGATTTTCCTGTATAGTGGGATTTAACATGAAGATTCAGAGAAACACACAATATATATATATATATATATATTTTTATTCGTTAAAATTTGGATCTATAACGATCTATTGTAGTAGTTCTTTCCTTATTCAGAGAAACACACTCAATAAGGTACAGGACACACTCTCGGCTAAAGAATTGATATCATAATACCCTGCTTTGGGCTCTTCTTTTTCGGGAGATGGCCCTTGGACCTCATAATCAATAGGCCCCATAATCTCTTGAGACATGTGCAACCACAGCTCTTAACTCTTCAGGGGTTGCAATTGAAGATACCTTGAAAGAATAGGGGGATTCAAATATGTTTGACAATGAAGCAATAGGTATAGCCATTTTAGAGCTCTCCTTAATCAATTCCTCATTGGGAGGATCCACAACACTTCTCCCTTTTTCCTTTATAACTCCCTCGCACTCATTCAAATTAGGTCTAGGAGACAAATTCTCCTTCATTCTCCATTTTTGTTTATGCTTAGTAGTGGGCTTTGAAGAGCAAGATTCGGTAGAATGACCAAAAGATTCACAATCTTAACATCTTTGGGGTTTCCTGGTTCCTCCTCCACCCTAATCTAAAAGATTCACAGAACAAGGATCCTTGCTTTTAGAACAAACCGCCTCCTCTAGTAGATAGTTATCAAGAGTCATTCTCATCTGTTCACCAATCCAAACCCACCAAGTCTAGGAGATATATTCCCCAAGTGGGTTTTCTTTCTTTCCTTTTTTCTTCTTCTTGTTGCTAAAATCTTATTCTGATTTGTGGTGTTTATATCTTCCTCTCTGCTTTTTTTTTGGTTGCTGTGTAGTGATAGCTTCTTTTAGATTGATTGCTTTCTTGTTGACTTGTGTTTGTTTGGTAATTTAACAGTCTTCAGAAAGGACTCTTGATGCTCCTAAGCTCTTAGATGACTTTAATTTGAATTTACTGGATTGGAGTAGCAGTAACATTGTCGCTATCGCTGTTGGGAATTCAGTATATTTGTGGAATGCTGCTAATTCGTCTGCTTCTGAACTTCTTGTGACAGATGAAGAAATTGGACCTGTAACAAGTGTCAGATGGGCACCGGATGGAGTACATCTTGCTGTTGGTTTAAATAATTCCCACATCCAGCTGTGGGACTCTTCATCTGGTCGGATGGTAAGAGTTTTCTTTAAAAAGTGTTTTCTTTTTTTTGCATTTTATCGATCATTTATGCTTTGTTTTATTATTGTAAGTAATTAGATGATGCATGGTGAAAAGTTGGCATTCTATTTGAATGTTGTTCTGTGAAAGAAAAAAAAAAAAGGATGACAAATTTTTTTGAATAGATGTAAGAAACTCCGGTCTTTGTTGTTATTGTTTTTTTTTTTTTTTGTGTCCCCTTTTTTTGGCAAGTAACATTATTTTACTAATAATGAGATCGTATATAATAAGATTCAAAACGCGATCTCAGTGAAAGAAAATTTAAACCAGAGGAAAAAGGCTAACAATAAAGAAAATGCATACTCACACCTTGAGAGGTTAGTGGAACGAAATATTCAATTCCAGGAAAAGAGGTCTTTGTTATTTCATGAACTCATGTTATCAATGATATTTAGGTGCTAAGGAAAGATTGGGCTTTTGAACGTTTCTCTAAAAAAAAAAAACCTGCATTTTTTGTGGAAAAAGAAAAACTAAAAGAAAAAAGTATATTTACATGCAACATGATGCGTCGTTTATATCCAATTTAACTTTTGATAAAGTTGGTAATTTCTTTTTCCTTCTATTTAGTTTGGAAGGGAACTAAGTCAGGTATAGTGGTGAACTGCAAGGTTGAATAATGTATCATTGAAGATTTTATTATATTGGTATAATGGATAGAGTGGACATGTTTGAAGGATTATGGCTTGTAAAGTTGTTATATATTTTAGAAAACAGTATTCTTAGAATTATGAGTTTTATATTTTTTATTTTGGAGTGAAATGAAATGTATTTATTGCAAATTAATTTCTCATGATCTAGGCATTATAGCTTTGTAATTTTTCTGGTGCCACCTCTCCATCCTATACTCTAACATGCTTTGGTTTTTCTGAACAGCTGAGGAATTTGCATGACGGGCATAGTTCAAGGGTTGGTTCACTCGATTGGAACAATCACATCCTTACAACTGGGGGAATGGACAGTTTGATCATAAACAATGATGTAAGAATAAGATCCAGCAATGTTGGAACATATAGGGGACATTGTCAAGAGGTTTGCGGACTGAAATGGTCTGCATCAGGCCAGCAACTAGCAAGTGGGGGGAAGGACAGTCTCCTCTACATATGGCATATCTCTATGACCTCTACAAATTCTGCCAATCAGTGGATTCACTGCCTAAAAGACCACAGAGACACTGTGAAAGCTCTTTCCTGGTGTCCTTTCCAGAGTAATCTGCTTGCCTCCGGTGGTGGTGTAGGAGACCAGTGCATAAAATTTTGGAACACCAACACTGGATCACGCCTGAACTCAGTAAATACAGGTTCACAGGTCTGTTGCTTGCTTTGGAGCAAACATGAACGTGAGCTTATGAGCTCTCATGGCTTCAATGATAACCAACTTACCCTATGGAAGTATCCTTCTATGGTCAAGATTATAGAACTTTATGGTCATACATCAAGAGTTCTTCATATGGCTCAAGTGAGTTGGGTCATCAATAAATCATATGCTTTAGTCCTGTTCTTGTTTTATGAATAATAGGTTTTCTATTTTTTTCACTCCCCTTTCTTGATGGATGCATTTCAGAGTCCAGATGGGTGTACAGTTGCATCTGCAGCAGCGAATGAGACGCTATTGTGGAACGTGCTTGGAACTCCTAAATTGGCCGTGAATGCTGCCAAAACAAAGCCAGAACCATTTGTTAATCTCGCCCGCGTCAGATGAAGAGGCTGTACCTGGAATGGGTGATTAAAAGCATTTTTCTTGGTACATGCTCCATTGGATTTGTGACGAAATTGGCTAAAAATTATTCAAGGGGATAAAAAATGAATAAAGAAGTTTGCATATTTAAGGTATGTTGAAAGTTTATTCAGTTCTTAATTTACACAAAATCAGCCCAGTTTTTAATAAGAAAATATGGATCATACTTTATTCTTTGCTTTTGATATGAAGTTAAGGTTCCCATTTAAGAGCAACTGCCAACCAATACATTAGCCCCATATCTACAAGCCTTCATTTTTAAGCCATCGTCACCATCCATGCCTTTATCCTACAATTGGGATCGACCACATGGATTCCTTTTCCACTATTTTCTATCATAAGGTACATCTCCTACTAAACTTAATTTTTTAAAATCATTTCTTATCACTTCATTCCATGTTAGTTTTGATTGCCCCTCAATTTTCTGATTTGTTCTTTTGATCCCATATCTCAAACTTGAATTAAAAATTACCTTTGAAAGAGTCCATTTTCTGTTATAGAGGATAATTATTTTCTGCCAAAGAGGCATTCTGGTCTTTTTAAGTCTTTCTTGCAGTTGAAATTCTTTCCCCCTCAGGGCATTGCATTTCTCTATTCCTATCCCGTGTCAGTTATCTCTAACAGCGATTTTGAAATGTTATCATTGGCTGTGCATTCATACATACATATACATATATATGTATATATATATATATCAGCTGCAATTTAAAACAGATGTTTTTGCAGAAATGTCAAAGAGCTTAATGTGTTGATTTATAAAAGATCTAGAACTGAAAATTACATTCCCTCAAATTCTGTAAAGATCGAATTGAACAGAAAAACCCTCGTTCAAGTTTCAAAGCTCTATTTTTGGGTGATATTGATCTTTAACAGCAAGAGAATCTCACTTATATCCAGTCTATTCCAAAGTCTGCTGAAGCAAGTGATTGTGCCGAAATTTTAGAAGCGTTTCATCTTTATTATACTCTCATCACAAGCTGTGAAGTACTTCAAATCCTCTTCTCTGCGATTTCACATCTGCTGCAGATCTTTATCCTTTTTTTTTTTTTTTGTTTTTGTAAAGCACGATTGACCTTTAGTTTTAGTGGAAAAACAGTGTGAGTTTGTACTCTGTGAGATAGAACACTGTGACTGTGTGAAGAAAAGAGTTGTGTAATTCTTTTATTGCTTGTTTTCTTAAGTAAACAAGCCAAGTTTGATATCTAGACTCGTTTAATAAATGAGTTAATCTTTAGCAATATTAGGTTCAACTCAACTTGTATATTTTATGAATATATCTTGTGAACATGTTTATAAGTTTTTGAACGAGCCAAAATGATCTTGAATACAGACTCAAATCGAAATAATACGACTTCTGTTATTCAACAAGCAGAGTTTAAATTTGACTTTTCAAGTTTGTCACGATCTCGAGTTGAGCCCAAAAACACTCAAGCTCGGCTCGGTTTTTTGCGTCTTACTTATAGCTTATGTCCCAAGCAACAAACAATGTTAATTTAAAGAAATTCATCCCAAGCAACATGCAAGAAGTGAAAAACATCTCAAGGTTCTGCTTATAGATAATAATTTATACACAGTTAGAATTCCTAACACGTTGATTTGATTGAGTGAAGATCACCCATCGACTATCACAATTTTATTTGCCATTTTTCTCTCTTTTATGGTATGCAATAATTGTGAGATTCTGATCATGGCGGACTTCAAATTGTTTTGATTTTCAATTCTATTATTTCTAATTCTACGCACAATAAAAGTTAAACTAAAAAAGCTATTGGAAGATAGGTTAATCTTAATCATATGATGCAAAAAAACAGAAAACAATATCATTAATTTTTAGCTAAGTAAATTTCTAAAATACCAAAAAAAAAAAAAAAAAAAAAAAGAAAAGAAAAGAAAAGAAAAAAGGTTTATTTAACTTCCATCATATAACCAGGAATTGAATTTTTTTTTTTTGGCATAGAGTCACGATTTGTTATTTCGATATTTTTCCTACTTGAGATGGCAATTAGAGATTGTAATTACCTTTAATCTGTTCTAACGAAAGTTTTCTTACCTTGAAAAAACATAAAATCATGCTATAACGTATTAACATCTCCTATTATTCCAAAGAATGTAAGAAATTTGAAACATATAGTGAAAAAGAATTGTCAGTCCAAATTTCGTACCAAAATCATTTATGATAGATTATCAAACTTTCAAATTTTTTCTCTTAATTTATTTGATCAAATTAAACTATCACATTTGACAATTTTGGTAAATTTTTTTTGGTTGGTACTCAATACACCCTCCTCTAAGTTGATAGTTTATGAGGCACAAGGTTAAATCTTTTCCTACTAAAGCAACATCATGGAATAAATTTTTTACAATAAGATCATTTCAATATCCACTACGGTGTTTGTGTGATGTTTTTTCTTATTTATTTATCAAAATGTAATAATTTATCTCTTTGTAGCATTATCCAAATAATAACAATAACAAATAACTCTCTCAAACTATTATCCTTTTGCAAATAACTCCATTGAAGTAAGAATTGCCCTCAATGATTTGTTACCATTAAAGATAAATCCATTTCAAAAGACTGTTTTACCCTTGCATTAAACTTGTCATTTTTTATAAATAATTTTTATTATCTTTTCTCTTATTTAAATAAATTTTTTTCTTCAATGATCATATCTAAATATTAATTAAATTATTTACTTTAATTTATTTCTCGAGTGGGTTATTTATAAATTCAACCATAGTTGAGAATTTTTTTTTCACTACTCTAATAGTAATAATAATAATATAAATTGAAGGCGGTTCAACCGCCTTTATGAGTAGCTTTCGGCCGTTGCAATATTTGCTGAAATCAAATATTTTCGCGCAAAAAAACCCTACTCACAATTTGCTAATTTTCTCTTAAACCCAACTCATTCATCAGCGCTCTCCTGCTCTCTCTCTCTCTCTCTTTCTGGTCTTGTTCATCGTTTTGCTGGGATTTCTACTTTATTTTTATACAATTTCGATCCATATATATATATATATATATATATATATATATATATATATATATATATTCTGTTCCTAAAACATCAATTTTGGATTCAGGAATTGGACACAAAAACGTCGCGATTCCCTCTCTCCGATCAGAAACTTCGAAGGTAAAATTTGTGCGAAAAAGTATGTGTTTCCATCTGCTTATGTGTGTTTATGTATGTTCGCCAACCAATTGAAATTTTCGGCTTTCTGTTTCGTTGCAATGAATTCAAGAAAACGAGAAAAGTATAAATTCTTTTAGCTTTTGTATCGAATTCCTTTTGATTTTCTTTCTTTTGTTTGTCTTCGTGAATTTCTTGGACTTTTGGATTTACTGTGAACTACGGTTTCTTCCTCTAATGTTTGAATGTTTCTTTGTTTTTTTTTTTTTTGTAGACGATATCTAGTATTGTTTGCAATATCTTTAGATTTTTGTGGTTGATGTTCCCATTAATTTCTTGGATTTTGATTTTGTTTCACGTGAGGGTTTCTTTAGCATATTTGATGATTTATTGTCTATGATTATGAGTTTTCAGAAATTTAGGGTTTATTTGTTCAACTTGTATAGATTCTGCACGACTAGAATTTTTTACATCATTAGATAATTTTTTAAGTCATGGTCCTGTAGGTTTCTTGGTTTGGATTTCCATGGGATTCAACATGAAGATTCAGGGAAAACACACTCAATATGTTTTTGTTTCTATTTGTATAAATTTGGATTTACGTAGTTCTTTCTTTATTCAGAGAAACAAACCCAATAAAGTTCAAATAATCAATAGGTCCCATAATCTCTTGAGAGAGGTGCAATGAGATTGTGATCAGAGACACCTCAAAAGAAGAAGGGAATTCAAATATATTTGATAATGAAGCAATAGGTATAGCCATTTTAGGGCTTTCCTTTCACAATTCCTCATTGGGGGGATCCACAACACTTCTCCCTTTTTCCCTTATAACTTCCTCCCACTAATTCGAATTAGGTCTAGCCGTCCTCCTTCATTCTCCATTTTTGTGTATGCTTACTAGTGGGCTTAGAAGAGCAAGATTGGGTAGAATGACCAAAAGATTCACAATCTAACATCTGTGACTTCTCATATAGCTTCCTTTCTATATATACCAGTCTCGAACCTTGACCAGTGGGTTTATAATTCAAACCATAAGCCAACAGGCTATAAGGTGAACCGGTAAGCATTTTCATTTCTCCAGTTGTTAGGTTTCTAAGTGAGGAAAAGAGATAATAATGTAATATTATCATATGTCTTATTGTCTTGGATTACAAAGAATTTTTACTCGAAAGGAACCAAAATAGTTGTAGAAGACAGTAACGACAGTTTCAGGTTTTGTTTTTGTGTTCCACATAAAGAAAATATTAGATTTCAAAATATATATACTTTTTTTTTTTTTTTTATATTTGCCTGCCTTCTTTTGTCATCGCAATAGGCTTCTCTTTTTGCAAATTCACACTAATCTTGTTCTTTTGGGATGGCAGCTGGATAGGTTTATTCCCAACCGATCTGCAATGGATTTTGATTTTGCACATTACATGCTCAACAGTGGGATGGTAAGAAAGGAAAGCCCAACACCATGCTCTCCAGCCAAAGAAGCTTACAGGAAGAGGATCCTTGCTTTTAAGAACAAGTCTAGGACATATATTCCCCAAGTGGGTTTTCTTTCTTTCCTTTTTCTTCTTCTTGTTGCTAAGCTCTCATTCTGATTTGTGTTTTGGATTGATTGCTTTCTTGTTGACATGTGTTTGTTTGGTAATTTAACAGTCTCCGGAAAGGATTCTTGTTGCTTCTGAGCTCCTAGATGAGTTTTATTTGAATTTACTGGATTGGAGTAGCAGTAACATTGTCGCTATCGCTCTTGGGAATTCAGTATATTTGTGGAATGCTGCTAATGGCGCTACTTCTGCACTTGTTGTGATTGATGAGGAAATTGGGCATGTGACAAGTGTCAGATGGGCGCCGGATGGAGTACATCTTGCTGTTGGTTTAAGTAATTCCCACATCCAGCTGTTGGACCCTTCATCTTGTCGGATGGTAAGAGTTTCTTTTAATTATGCTTTCGTTTTTTCTATTTTATTGATCATTTATGCTTTTGTTTCTTTGAACATATTATTGTAAGTAATTAGATGAGGCATGGTGAAAAGTTGGCATTCTTTTTTAATGTTGTTCTGTTAAAAAAAGATGACAAGCATTTTTGACTAGTTGTAAGAAACCCTGGTCAATAAAGAAAAATTTTATTACAAAAAAGGAGATGATAAACAATAAGATTCAAAACACATTCGCGCTGAAAGAAAATTTAAATCAGAGAGGAAAAAGCCTAAAAATAAAGAATAGAGGCACTCACACCCCGAGTGGTTGGAGGAACAAAACTTTCAACCTCTTACTTTCCAGGAACTCTGGTCTTTGATATTTCATGAACTCATGTTTTCCATGATATGTAGGTGCTAAGAAGAAATTGGGCTTCTGTCAGTTTCTCTAACTGCATTTTGTGTGGAAAAAGAAAAACTTAAAGAAAAAAGTATCTTTAAATGCAACACAAGATGCATTTTTATATCCCATTTAAGTTCTGATAAAGTTGGTAGTTTCTTTTACCTTTTTTTAGTTTGGAAGAGAACAAAGTCCAGTTTAGTGGTGAAGTGCAAGGTTGAATGAGGCATGTATCATTGAAGATTTTATTATAGTGATATAATGCATAAAGTGAACATGTTTGAAGGATTATGGCTTGTATAGTTGGCCTATATTTTAGAAAACAAATATTAGAACTAAGAGTTTTATATTCTTTATTTGGAGTGAAATGAAATGTATTTATTGCAAATTGTCACATTTCTCATGATCTAGGCATTAGCTTTGATTTTTCTGGTGCCACCTCTCCATCCTGTACTCTAATTTGCTTGGTTTTTCTGAACAGCTGAGGACTTTGCAAGACGGGCATAGTTCAAGGGTTGGTTCTCTTGATTGGAACAATCACATACTGACAACGGGGGGAATGAACAGTTTGATCATAAACAATGATATAAGAATAAGATCCCACAATGTTGGAACATATAGGGGTCACTATCGAGAGGTTTGTGGACTGAAATGGTCTGCATCAGGCCAGCAACTAGCAAGCGGGGGGAATGACAATCTCCTCTACGTATGGAATATCTCTATGACCTCTACAAATTCTGCCAACCGAGGGATTCACTG